CCATTCGTATTACTCTCAGCAGTTCTTTGCGGTTTGCAGCAGTGCTGTTTCCGAACCAGGTGGTGATGGAGCCGGACAGGATGCTCTCTACAGTGCATGTGTAGAATGATCTGAGTCGTCTCAAGAAGAAGAGGTGCTGTTGGGCCTTCTTCACAACTGCTCGGGTTTGTTCTGACCATGTGAGGTCATCGCTGATGCCAAGAAATTTTAAACTTTTGACTCTCTCTACTGGAGTTCCATTGATGGTGATTGGGCTGTGTTCTCTATTCTGTCTCCTGAAGTCCACAATGATCTCCTTGGTCTTAGAGACGTTGAGAGAGAGGCTGTTCTCCTGGCACCAGTGTGTTAGGGAGTTCACTTCTTCTCTGTAAGCCGTCTCGTCATCATTCGTGATCAGACCTAACACTGTTGTGTCGTCTGAAAATTTAATGATGACATTGGAGCTGTGTGTGGCCACGCAGTCGTGGGTGTAGAGGGAGTACAGAAGTGGGCTGAGAACGCAGCCCTGGGGAGCTCCAGTGCTGAGGATCAGTGAAGAGGAGATAGTATTTTCCATTTTGACCATTTGACGTCTGCCTGACAGGAAGTCCAGTATCCAGCTGCACAGTGAACTGTTCAGACCCAGAGCCCGGAGTTTCACATCAAGCTTGGCTAGCACTATGGTATTGAATGCTGAACTGTAGTCTACAAACAGCATTCTCACATATGTGTTTTTCTTGTCTAGATGAGATTAATAAATTACATTGTAAAATATATTAAAATAGAAAAGAGTTTTTAATATTTTAAGTTGTAATCATTTTAAATTGCATCCTCATCACAAATTCAATTTTCATTCCAAAAAATATTGAAAGCATGTTTAATCTTTATTATTTAATGTGGCTTCTTTTTATAATGATTAATTTAGATTTTTTTTTGAATGTCAATACTAGCCATAAGCATGAAAAGCTTTTAGCACAACACATTAAAATGACTGTATATATGGACAGGACATTTAAATTAGTAACTAGTTATGTATTGAAAGTATTGAAAGACCAGCAGAGTTCAGTGCTTTGAATTGTTTTTCTTCCCATGCTCCAATACACTATGGTGTACCCCAGGGCTCCATTCTGGGTCCTCTTCTGTTTTCATTATATATGCTGTTGTATTGTTATATTAATGATATATTTGTGCAACAGTTGTAGTGTATCAGTTGTAGTTTAGCAGTCTGGTGGCCTGAGGGAAGAAGCTGTCCTGCAGTCGACTGGTGCGGGCCCTGATGCTTTTATAGCGTCTGCCTGATGGCAGTAGTGAGAGGAGACTGTGACTGGGGTGGCTAGGGTCTTTGATTATCTTCCGGGCTTTCCTCACACAACGGATGTTGTAGATGGCCTGGGGGGAGGGAAGCTCACCTCCAGTAATGTGTTGGGCCATTCGTATTACTCTCAGCAGTTCTTTGCGGTTTGCAGCAGTGCTGTTTCCGAACCAGGTGGTGATGGAGCCGGACAGGATGCTCTCTACAGTGCATGTGTAGAATGATCTGAGTCGTCTCAAGAAGAAGAGGTGCTGTTGGGCCTTCTTCACAACTGCTCGGGTTTGTTCTGACCATGTGAGGTCATCGCTGATGCCAAGAAATTTTAAACTTTTGACTCTCTCTACTGGAGTTCCATTGATGGTGATTGGGCTGTGTTCTCTATTCTGTCTCCTGAAGTCCACAATGATCTCCTTGGTCTTAGAGACGTTGAGAGAGAGGCTGTTCTCCTGGCACCAGTGTGTTAGGGAGTTCACTTCTTCTCTGTAAGCCGTCTCGTCATCATTCGTGATCAGACCTAACACTGTTGTGTCGTCTGAAAATTTAATGATGACATTGGAGCTGTGTGTGGCCACGCAGTCGTGGGTGTAGAGGGAGTACAGAAGTGGGCTGAGAACGCAGCCCTGGGGAGCTCCAGTGCTGAGGATCAGTGAAGAGGAGATAGTATTTTCCATTTTGACCATTTGACGTCTGCCTGACAGGAAGTCCAGTATCCAGCTGCACAGTGAACTGTTCAGACCCAGAGCCCGGAGTTTCACATCAAGCTTGAATGGTATTGAATGCTGAACTGTAGTCTACAAACAGCATTCTCACATATGTGTTTTTCTTGTCTAGATGAGATTAATAAATTACATTGTAAAATATATTAAAATAGAAAAGAGTTTTTAATATTTTAAGTTGTAATCATTTTAAATTGCATCCTCATCACAAATTCAATTTTCATTCCAAAAAATATTGAAAGCATGTTTAATCTTTATTATTTAATGTGGCTTCTTTTTATAATGATTAATTTAGATTTTTTTTTGAATGTCAATACTAGCCATAAGCATGAAAAGCTTTTAGCACAACACATTAAAATGACTGTATATATGGACAGGACATTTAAATTAGTAACTAGTTATGTATTGAAAGTATTGAAAGACCAGCAGAGTTCAGTGCTTTGAATTGTTTTTCTTCCCATGCTCCAATACACTATGGTGTACCCCAGGGCTCCATTCTGGGTCCTCTTCTGTTTTCATTATATATGCTTCCACTTGGTCATATTATTCAGAGACACAATTTATCATACCACTTTTATACCAATGACACTCAGCTCTACTTTCCTATCAAAAATAATAATTCTGTGTCTGGCCTGTTTGACTGCCTGTGTGACATAAAATGTTGGATGGACATGAACTTCTTACAGCTAAACGACGACAAAACCGAAATTGTTATCTTTGCCCCACCAGATATGACTCTGACATTTTGACAAATCAAAAATCTTGGTGTCTTTTTTGATTCCAATTTGAGTTTTTGATAAGCAGATTAGTGCTATTGTTAAAAGTAGTTTCTTTGAGCTAAGATCTATTGCCAAAATCAAGATGATGCTCTCTAAGAAAGACCTTGAAACTGTTATTCATGCATTTATTACCTCAAAGTTGGATTATTATAACTCTTTACACCTGGGTTTGCCTAATTCCACTGTAAATCGTCTGCAGATGGTTCAAAATGCAGCAGCCAGGCTTTTGACTGGCACTAAAAAAGTGTCAGCACATTACTCCTGTGCTTGCCTCTGTCCACTGGTTACTGGTTAAGTCCCAGATTGATTTTAAAATTAAAATTTTTGTTTATAAAGCTTTACATGGTCTTGCCCCTCAGTATATCAGTGATCTTCTTGTCCTGTACAATGCCTCAAGATCCTTACGTTCTTCCAGTCAACTTCTTCTTTCTGTTCCTCGCTCACGTTACAAAACTAAAGGTGACCGGGCTTTCTCGGTGGCTGCTCCCAGACTCTGGAACAGTCTCCCTCTCCATATTAGATCGTCCCCTTCTGTTTTTTACTTTTAAATCTTCCCTAAAAACTTATCTGTATTTTTTATTAATTGTATTAATTGAGGGTGTTTATATTTTTACATTTGTCTCCAAGGTTTTGATCCAGTGTGTTAATTCTGTTTTAATTTTGTTTGAATACCTTTAATACCAACTTCTGTTGTTTTGAAATGTGCTTTATAAATTAATAAACTAAACTAAACTTTCTTTAAGACCCACGGTTCAGGAGGATGGTGGCGATGTCATATTCAAAGGCTTTGAGGATGGCACAGTGAAGCTGAAGCTGGTTGGCTCCTGTACGGGATGTCCCAGCTCCACAGTTACCCTTAAAAATGGCATCCAGAACATGCTGCAGTTTTATATACCTGAGGTGGACGAGGTAGAACAGGTGAGAGATATAAATCCATCAGTTATTCATGAGGACATCTTTTGCATATTTAACTACAGTGATCATGACTTTCATTATTCATTATTTCATATTTTTTCATTTAACAAGGTCGAGGATGAAGTGGATGAGATCAACATGAAGGTGTTTGAAGAAGTGGAGAAGAAATTGCAAGACTCGTAGCATAAGACCCAGCTCTGCTGTCCACATATTTCAATTGGCTATTGTCATGTCATAATTATAGTGGGATTCAAACACTCCATAAGGCAGCTGTATATTTAAGGTGCAGAATCTAGAATATAATGTTATATTTAACCAAGCTCAAAGTTGTAAGTTGTTCTGGTTCTGATATAATAATGCAATATTGTGATTGCAAGTACCAGACAACTGCACTTTTCCACACCTTTACGTGTTCTGACTGGCACTCATCTGCACTCGCTGAGTTCCAAGGTTTGTTACTTGTCTGAGAGAAAAGGTTAAATTGAAGACGGTTATGCTTTTAATTACTATGTTTATTGAACATTGCAATTTCACCTAGATGTCTGGTGAGTGCAGTAATTAAGTAGGAGTTCTTTTATAGCAGAAATACAATGCTGTGTTCCTGATACATTCTCAAACCTGAAATGACCACTTGAAGTAATGCAGATCTTCCACAGCTCTAAAAGTCTTTGAGAATGAGATCAGTTGTGAAAGTCTGTATTCATGATCATCTACAGCTGCCATCCAGCAGTTCTGGCAGACCTATAATGAAATAAATCAGTTGTGTATTTTGGAAAAAGTTGTTTTTTTTATGGACAGCAATTTTTATTTATTCATTCATTCAGTTAGTGAGTGTGTTTTACTTTACAAAAACAATTGGACTATTGTCCCGTTTCATCATAGAAATGATTTTAGGAACTTGAAACCAAACAAATCAAACTTTCAGGGGACATTTAAACAGTCTTGCCTGTTTACTACTAAGTCATTGGAAAATCCTAATTATTATTATTTCATTTAACTTTGCAAGCAACACAGCATAACGAGAAATAAATAATAAAAAGAGTGTTAATTTCTGAAAGCAATGTGCCTAAACAGTCTACAGTTCCAGCTTGTCTAAAAACATGATTTGAAGCCAAATTATTAAGTAATAATAATAAAAACAACGATTTAGATATATATGTACTACATATACATAACATATTATGTAGGCTTGTTTGGATTTGCTTCAGTATGCGGCTGCGGCACTGTCAAGTTTTCCTCGATCCTGGATCAGCGTTGCACTAAGTGTCTCAAGCGAACTGCGCATGCGCTTCATCCAGATTTCAGTGTCTCTACCGGTGAATGAGAGGCGACGGAGGGTAAGCAGCAACAATAACAGCTAGCTTGCATGCTTGCATACTGACTGAAGTTTTGTCATTTTATTAGTGCTTCGTCATGCACTCGACTGTGTGTTATTCTGCGCACACTGTACACACTTCTGAGGTGTAAAGGAGACTAGTAAGTGCGTGGACAGAACACTAGACAGTGCTCATGCGAGGGCCCGGATCAGACAACATAGCACTGCTGGAAAACAAAACACTGCAGTCAGCACAACTGTGCTCTACATACTACCACTGAGACTGTTGTTTAGTTTAAGTTAATACGCTTCGTAGTGATTTTATGAGACATAATAACACGGCTTTAAATGGTTTGGTGAGTGTTGTTGTGTTGCAGCGTTAGCTGCTTAACGTTAGCTTGCTGCATTGAGAATACGTTGGTGTGCTAAGCTAGACTAGTGCAGATAAAAAGTGTGGTAAAATGTATTATTTGGGTCTTCAAACAAAGGTCCTAAAGCAGTTAATGTTTCTTATTCGCTGTTTATCTGGACTTAAACTGAGTTTTAAAGCAGGGAGAGGTTGTAAACAGTCTGCTGGTGTTCTGGAGCGGACAGATGGCATTGGCTGAAAGGCGGTGTTTCAAAAACTAGTAAGCTCCCTAAATAGACCGCATGTCCGAGTTTTTTTCTCTTCTTTTTTTAACATTAAGTTAACAATCTTGCTCTTAATTACAGTAGGGGTTCAATCTTCAACTGGCTGGCAGGAGCCGCCACTGACAGGTCACGTGACATGCCAGTGGTTGGTGGCAGTATGCCTTAACAAGATCCACTGGCGGATCAGTCAGACAGCCGCAAGAGCGCTCCGAGTTTAACGCGTTCTCTACCACTCTCTCTACAAGGAAATATATTATTTTATGATTATTAAATTATCAGTAAATTATATAGATCTTCTTTTAAAGCTGCTACTACTACTACTACTATTTTTAAACGAAATATATACATTTAACAAAAGTCGTTACTTTCTTTGTTTGAGGGAATTAAAAAAATAAGTACAATAATTTTGTTACAGACAATTTAGTGAGGTGACAGAGGGCATTAGCTGTGTTTAAAAGTCTAGAAAGATCCCTAACTTGGCAGCATGTCCTTCCGAGTCACTGTCTTCTGAGATAATGTGGAATTATTGAAATTAAATGAACAATCTTGCAAACACAGCTCTCGGTGGTCTGTAAATGAAACCACTTATTTTACTGATTTTTAAAATGGTTTTAGTCTGTAATAATAACCTAAATGTGTTAACTATTAAAAAACAGAATAATTGTAAGCTTAATTATTTTAATCCATTAACAGCTCCACTTTATGTTTCAGCAGTTGTTGTAATAATATATCATGTAGTTTATATATGGGACCTTTTTATTGTTGTCTATGGCAATAGGGGTGTTAAAGTTACAGAGATAAAAACCACTGACTTTGTATGTCTTGTGATTATCAGTAGTGTTGTCTTGGCGAACAGCCACTATATTTCAGGTCCTGTTTATACAGTTTTATGCTTGTAGTTATAGTAAGTTTAATTACCGACCCCACAGGAAATAATCTGCCGCCTGGTCCAGCAGAAACCGTGAGCAGGTCTCCATGGCCCAGTTCGGGGGGCAGAAGAACCCTCCATGGGCAGCTCAGTTTGCTGCTACAGCGGTTTCACAGCCCGGCCACTCAGGACAGTCACTGGACCTGAACAGTTTACACTGTAAGTCATCATATTTCAGCAATATACTTATTATTGTCACTGCATTAAATTCACTTTCTATTACAAATAACTAAATGTTACTATATAAACATGCATTCATAATTTCTAGCTTTATCTTATTGTGAAGGTCAAAGCTCGAGATGTTTTTTGTTCGGGTTTCATTGGCTGGTCAAATTTTGCTTGTGCTTGTTTGAATGTTGTTGACAGCAGTTGCAATGTCCTTACAATCTCTCACATGTCTCCCATAGCTTTAGGAGTACAGCAGTCGTCCCTCTTGGGAGTGTCTCCTATGTACACTCAGCAGTCGGCTTTAGCGGCAGCCTCCCTCAACACACAGTCAGCTGCCAACTACCAGCTCTCTCAGCAGACCGCAGCGCTCCAGCAGCAGGCCGCTGTAGCTGCAGCCGCTGCGTTACAGCAGGTGAGATCCTGGCTGTGATCCATCACCGTAATGCAGCTGGAGTAAATGCACAATAAAGCCTTTGGCTATTTTTGGAATAGCATACTAACATGCTAAATTAGGTACACTGTGAATAGTATGCAGTTATCCCAGATTCGCACCGAATAACAGTCATTTTCATTTCCAGTGTGATGAATGATTTGAAAGCAATTACAGTGGCTTTCAACATTATTTCCCCCTCCTTTTTTTGATAGGATTGCCAATAATTATTTAGCAAAATGTGACAGCAGAGTAGCATAACACTGTTTAAAGCATTTATTGTTGAATGCTAGGTAGTATAGTAAAGGGCTGCATGATTCTGGGGGGGAATAATTTATTTATTTTCTGGGGGAAAAATTGTGATTGCAATTTAAAATGTGATTAAAAAAAAATACAAGTTTTCTGTGCTTGTTTGTGGGACTGCGCAATTTGGACACATTTTTTGTGATTTATATATCAGTAAGACAATAACAGTAATAATAATAATTAAATATTATTGTTATTATTATTATTATTATGCGTATTATTATATATATTTTTATTATTATTAAATAAAAATATAAACATTACTAAATAACAACAAAATACATTACAGTTGTAATATTTCACTGTTGATAAAAAAAAAAGAGTATTTAGGAAAATAATACAGTCATAATACATTTGTTTTCATATTACAACCTTAAAAGTACAATGATATTTATGGCTGTCTTAATTTCTTCATTTTCAAACGGTAAACCATCAGACTTCTATTTTGATGGAAAAAGACCTTAATGATTCTCTTAGATTGTTAAGCACTTCTAATCGCAAATATGGGAAGATTTTTGCCAAATGTTGCATTCCCAAATGCACGTTAAACCCAAACTCAGACTAGATGCAGAGATGGAGTTGTGAACCAAGCCACTTACAATACCACGCTTCACTCTGAAACATGCAGCACGTATGCTTATGTAATTAAATCTCAGCCCTTGATATTTAATAATTGCACTAAGCTATAACGTAATTTTGGTTTTATTTCAGTTAATCATGCAGCCCTAGTATAGTACCTATTATCTTTCAAAAAGAGTAGTAGTTATACAGTGTATACTCTGCACCAAACCCAATCTCATTATTTTCACTCCAGTGCATAAAGTGCTCCCTCCATCATTCTGAATTGCACTCATCTGCGTTTCTAGCGTGCTCAGTGTTGGAGTACTGCAACCTGAGCCCTTCCCCCAGCCTGCAGTGAGCAGTCTTGAGTCACTGGTGTGTTTTATTTTAGTCGCAGATCAATTCAGCCCTGCAGCAGTATCAGCAGCAGCAGCAGCAACAACAACAGCAGCTACCTCAAGCTCCCCCACCACAACCTCCACCTCAGCAAACTCTTTACAACGTCCCACATCAGGTACATACACTCACTCTCATCCACACCTCCTCTTTTACTTCGCCTCTTAGCTTTTCCAAAGTCCTAGTTTTTTTTATCATGAAAGTTGTCTGTATTGTTCATTGTGATTTCTTGTGCATACCACGTGGTCAGGGGTTTGATTCCAAGAGAATGTATGTGCTAGTAGATTGCACTGCAAGTCTCTTTGGATTAAAAAGCCTGTCAGGTGTATAAATGTATACATCATGACAGATTAACTTAAAGAGCTGCAGTCAGCACAGTGGTTACTCTAAATAGGGCAAGTGCTGCAGTGCATGAGTGCCTTTCTGCATTATTTAACTAGCAGGACTCTCTTCCAGTCTTAGTAGATGTGGTTGGTTCTGAAATTGAATTCTAGAAATGTATTCAAAATTGACAGTAAAGACATTGATAATGCTACTAAAGATTTCTATTTTAAATCAGGGATGCACCGATGCCACTTTTTCCAGTACTTGCCCGATACAATACTTTTATTTTTTGTACTTGCCGATACCGAGTACCGATGCCGATATTTTTATTGCATTTGTAAAATTTTTAAATATTGGGAACAGAAACAAAAAGAGTATGTATAATTAGGGATGCACGATATATCGGCCACCATATCGGTATCGGCCGATAAATGCTAATTTTTTCTGTTATCGGTATCGGCCTGATAAGAAAATTTGGCCGATATCTTAAAGCTGTTTATTCGCTATAGTTTAGAAAATTGTAATAAAATATGACAAAAACTCAGAGTTAAACTGTCAGAACAAATTCAGCTTGATAATGCTAGATAACTTTGAAAGGTATGTAATTGATTACAATCAACCAAAAATTATTCAGACAGCTGTTAGTATGACAGTATTTACACAACTATCAATACTTAGTTTGATAGTTGGCAGCCATATCACCCTGTAGCCCAAGACTGGTTGCCCACTGAAGCTAAGCAGGGCTGAGCCTGGTCAGTACCTGGATGGGAGACCTCCTGGGAAAACTAGGTTGCTGCTGGAAGAGGTGTTAGTGAGGCCAGCAGGGGGTGCTCACCCTGTGGTCTGTGTGTGTCCTAATGCCCCAGTGTAGTGACGGGGCCACTATACTGTCAACAAGCACCGTCCTTCGGATGAGACGTTAAACCGAGGTCCTGACTCTCTGTGTCATTAAAAATCCCAGGATGTCTTTCGAAAAGAGTAGAGGTGTGACCTCGGCATCCTGGCCAAATTTGCCCATTGGCCTCTGATCATCATGGCCTCCTAACAATCCCCATATCTACTGATTGGCTTCATCACTCTGTCTCCTCTCCACCAATAAACTCGTGTGTGGTGGGTGTTCTGTCGCACTATGGCTGCCGTCGCATCATCCAGGTGGATGCTGCACACTGGTGGTGGATGAGGAGAGACCCCCTGACAATGTAAAGCGCTTTGAGTGCCTAGAAAAGTGCTATATAAATGTAATGAATTAATAAAAAAGTAGTTGGGCAACCCTTGGCCTTAATGACAGCATGTAGTCTCCTGGGCATGCTGTCACCCAGCTTCATGCAAACCTGAACTTCATTTTGTTTTCCCAGACTCGGTTTGAATAATTTTTGGTCCCAAATTTGTATCAGTTTTACTGGTAGTCCACTGTGTGAAGAATTTTTGGGTATAATTTATCACAGTTTACTTTATTTTGCTATCCTCACTTACAGAAATGAACTATAGTGTCCTGCACTCACTAGTAAAAAAATATCAAAAATGATATCTGGTCTCTGTATAATTTTTGGTTTGACTGTATATCCTTCGATTATTTTCACACTTAATTATGCCCATTAAAATGTATTTTACACGTTTTTGTTACTTTCACTGTTCATTTTTTGCACTATGGTACATCATCTTTAATTTAATAGCATTAGAGCTGCTCCATTGCAGCGGCTTAGTACTGTAATCACGCGCTTTGCTGTAATAATGCAGGGAACCTCTCGTTATAAATCTCCTAACTTTGATATTTTCAGAAATAGAAGTCACGTTCTTTTTTTTCATCTGACACACGTTGCGATTTATATTCCAAAGCCACTCATATAATGCAGAAACACTCAAGCAAGCAAAACACGCGCAACGCGAGCACGTATTTGTACTGATGCAGAATGAGAGGGACAAGTACAGCCTAGAGCATTTCACACAGGCTGCTAGATTCACTTTCGCCAGAAAGTCGTGTATGCCTAAGTTTGAAAATAAATTATGTTTATAGTGAATGCCCCTATACATGGTCTTATTTTTACGGTTTAGTTTTAATCCAAATTATGCATGTGCTAAGTGAGTGAACATCAAAGATCACACAACAGAAGTGTGCGCGCTCTCTCTTTCTCTCTCTCTCCCTCCCTACCATTAAGTAACTTGTGCATTGTTTTACTTACTTGTTTTTGACATATCCGACCAAACTACAAACTTTCCAGTGATGTCTGTGAGAAAGGGATATTAACTCGACAAGCTTGCGCATGTGCGCCGCCGCACACTCAACCCACTCTGTGTGCTTTGCTTATCAGCTCGCACACGTCAGCTATACAGGCGTTAATACTGAATTTTAACATTATATTCATTGCATACATATACTTCGTAGGCATCCTTAATCTCTAATAACCATTCTGCTGTCTGTTGTTCTGTTGTCGGTGTTTCTATGTCTGAATACGGCACTTATCGCATGCTGTGTGGTATTGGCGTTTGGTATCGGGGCATTTTAACGAGTACAAGTACAGGAGCTCAGTATCGGGCCCGATACCAATATCAGTATCGGTATTGGTGCATCCCTATTTTAAATAAAAGCTTTTCTTTTTGAACTTTCTATCTTATAATGTATTTTTTTTGTGTGTTTTCTTTATTTCTCACAGCTTTCACAACCCCAACAAGCCCTGCTATCACAGGTACACTGTGTTTCCAAATTCTGCATATGCATCACATATTTCACGTATTTTTCTTGCAAAGCACACCGTACTATTTTTAAATGTGTAAAATGAGGCAAGAGATCCTTATTAAATCTGTATCGGAGCTTTGACATTTTTTTTTTGTCCATGTGATAAAGTTCAATTGTGAGTGAACCTGCTGTAACACAAGACAAATTTCAGACTTTGTCTGACAATAAAGTTATATTGTATCATATCATATCATATTGTAACATTGCCAGCTATGAGCAGTTTATGTTCTAACCCTTGTGCGGTGTGTATTTTGCAGGCCCCTGTTGCCTTGCCCACCTGCCTGAGCCTGTCCAACCCGCAGCAGACGGCACAGATAACCGTATCCTACCCGACCCCGCGCTCCAGCCACCAGCAGCAGACTCAACCCCAAAAGCAGCGTGTTTTCACCGGGGTCGTCAGCAAGCTACATGATACTTTCGGCTTTGTCGATGAAGATGTCTTCTTCCAGCTCAGGTGCATTATATTGTAAATGTGCAGTTGTAGTTGAGAGCTTTAAAGGTCAGGTGTGTAATTTCTGTTTGTTTTGTGTAGTGCGGTTAAGGGGAAAACACCCCAAGTCGGTGATCGTGTTCTGGTGGAAGCTGTCTACAATCCCAACATGCCTTTCAAGTGGAATGCCCAGCGCATCCAGACGTTACCTCAGCTGCCCAGTCAAACGGTAAGCAAACCCACGTGATCTGAAAGGATCCCTGACAGATACAGTCTGATATGGTTCTGCCTCCACAGTGTTTCATGATGCTGCTGTTGATTCCTGTGTTCTTAATCTCCATGTAGCACCAGCTGCCTCAGCCCTTACCTCAGGTTTCCCCACAGCTGTCCAGCTTTTACTCTGAAGCAGGAATGCAGCGCTACTCTGACATACACTCTGCGGTGGATTCGAGACAAAATGTAACCCACGCCACTTGACCCCTGTGCCCCAAATCCCTATTCTCTCCTCCTCCTCCTCCTCCCCTTTGCCTTCTGCTTGATCTGCTCCTCCACTCTCCTGTTTCACAAACATGCTTTAGTCACATGTCCTTGGGTTTCTTTCCTTCCACCCAAGACGAGTATCTGTTGATGCTTTTTCACCCTTCCCTGTATTACAGCTCACAGCTTGTGTGTTGGATTTGTAATTAAACATTTTTCTCGCAATCCATAGATTCCATCTTTAGCTAATCAGCACCTGCTGTGTTATTAATGCACTTTGTCTTGGGGGGGGATGCTGTAGTCATATGGTTTGTTGTTTTTTTAAGTTACATTTTTGTAATTACCCAAACTAATTATTTAATTACATTTTTTTTAGAGTTTCATACAAAAATTTCAGTAGTCCAAATACCAGAAATTTGACCTTTTATAAGGATTATTAATACTAATTAGAAATAAACTAATTATGAATAAATTAAAGGGGTCATATGATGCTATTTTAAAGATAATTTTTTTGTGTATTTGGTGTAACAGAATATGTTGACATGGTTTAATGTTCAAAAAACACATTATTTTTCAAATACTGTACATTATTGTAGGTCCTCTATGCCCCGCCTCTCTCAAACACGTCGTTTTCAACAAAGCCCCCTCCTTTGACAAGCGTAGTCTGCTCTGATTGGCCGGCTGACCCAGTGCATTGTGATTGGCCAAACACCACAAGCACGCGTCAGAAATGTAACGCCCCTTACCATAATCGCTTCAGCTTTCAAAGTAAATATCAAGACAGTTAATAATGTCGTTAGTTTTACCATCGGTTCAAGCCCGAAAGGGCAACAGTGTCGCGTGATAGACACAGTGATGATACAGTACACAAGCCGCGGTTAAGACAGCTGACGTGCTATGATTTCTGACCTCTTTCCCCTCACACACACACACATGACGCGTTACTCTGCGCTGCGCAAAAATCCGCATTTGAGCAGTCAATAGCAAATACTTAAACTAATAACAAAACATACTTGCAGTCGCTGATTCAGAAGCGCCAGATTGTCATAGCAAAGTAGGAATTTACCCTTTTTTAAAATTAATTAATTAATTTTTTTAGAAATAGCCTTTGTGCACAGCCAGCCTTGTACTCTTCTAGGTTCAAAAAACTGTCGTCCATAAAATGTGTTGCACAAATTCGAACATCTGGGTTGTGCTGTTCTGTTGTAAATAAATCTTAACCAATGATTCCTAATTGCATCTACTTCCGGAAGGCCAAATAAAGTGCTTTTGCTTTCGCACTGAAACACACAGCGTCTCCCTGACATGGCTGCATCAACACTACTGCTGTTCCTGAAACCACGCCTTCTTTCTTTGCGTGCACATTTGGGCATTATGCTAATATTTCCACATAGTGATGTAGATATGTGGGGGCATGTTAGAACGAGCTGTTTTAGGAGGGTGGGGTTGACTCTTAACTTTTATAAAGAATATCTCTTTGGATTTGAGACTTTAGTCTTTGCAACTTTACAGATCTTCTTTATGCACCAAGAGTTTGTAATACTCCAAAGAGAAAGGAAAACTTGAAATCGCACCATATGACCCCTTTAACCTAATTACAGAATTGAAGGTTAAATATTAAACTAAAAATTTAATTAATGGCACGTGGGTGCAAATATTTTAATCAAGTTTTTATGAAGTAAAGAACAATGAAAGACTGGTATTGTTACTACTGCTGCTTTTGTATTTTTTATTTTTTTTTTAAACCTCATAGTGAATTACCTGTACTTTTGACATCTGTACACCTGGACACAAATGTCACACTGAGCAGGTGCATGATGATAAAGCAAATGCAGACTGCTGTCTTTTTTGTTATATGTAACTAACAATATATGTGAGACATTGTCTCCTTTTGAAATGCCCAGAATGCTTGCCTTTTTTCTTTTTTAAAGAAAGTGCCTTTTGAAAGCAAGACTTTAAAAAATCTATTCTGTTTCTTAATAGGGGCCAAAACCAGCAAATGGTAATAGCAGTGCTTCTGCTTCCTCTGTCTCCAGCTATTTCTAACCATTTATTTTCTTTTCACTGGGTTTAAGTGCTCCTTGATTACTCATTTAGGTACATTTTCCACCCATCCTATAAAACAGGTTATCTAAACATTATGTATTGGATTAATGTTATTTATTTAAAGTCTTGTTTTTTATAGCCCCTAGCTGAAAGCTGTCGTTATCGTTTTGATGAATTGAATCAATGTACAGTAATGTGTTTGTTTAGACAATAGATGTTGGCTTGGTGTCTGCAGAGCTAGGCGATGTTAATTGAATTTGTCATTTTTATCTTGTATTTGGTATATTTTCGTATTTAAATATATATACGGCACCGTTCAAAGGTTTGTGGTTGGTACAGTTTTTTTAAATGGCTTTAAAAAAATGTTTTTTATGTTCACCAAAGCTGCATTTATTTGAATAAAATTGCAGTAAAGGCAGTAATAAATTTTTATTTTTTAAATGTAATTTATTCCTGTGATGGAAAAGTTTAATTGTCATCTTTGATTAATAGAAAGTTCAAATAAATTCTGTGAAAATAACAGAATTTTTTGGAACATTATAAATGTAATTTTTGATCAATTTAATGCCTACTTGCTGAATATAAGATTTAATTGATTTAAAAATAGTAGTATAAATTCAGTTAGTTAAAAAAAAAAACAACAACAGTGTTAGATTAGTTGAAATTTACTACCTTTATTTACCTTTGTCTTTTGAGACATTTTAGCTTGAACACATGTATTTTGAGATCTTTAACAGACATCTGATCATCTATGTTAGAACATATCTCTATCTGTATAGTTTTAACTATGTAGCCCAACTCTAGCCTTAAGCACTACTTAATCAAAATTATGTTGTGATTTTGCACAATAAAATTGGCGTTTGTACATACTAGCAAACCCAAGTCTTTTGTTCCATCTCTTTTGTTTTTTCAGAGCCAGCCGCCAGGCCCAAACATGATGAAACCAGGTCCCACCATGCTGCAGTCTCTACCCCCACCCACCACGTTCAGCGTCCCGGCCCAGGGACCTCCTCCATCTCTTCTGCAGGCCCAGCTCTCAGCTGCTTCTCTGGCCCCACTGCTGCAGAATCCCCCACAGCCCCTGCTACCCCAGCCTCCCCCTAAAGGTTCATCAAACCTCTCCAACCTTTCACAGAGTCACTCTTTTACAGAATCAAATCTGATCTCCCATCTTTCTCTCTGCCATGTGTAGACTCTGTGTTCTCAGGGGGTTTGCTGCAGCCCCCGGTGCGGATGATGCCTCAGCCGCAACAGGTGAGGCGTGTGGACCCCTCACCCCGCTTCCCCAGCCGCAGTGACCGATCAGAACTCATCCTGAGGAAGGATGACCGCAGGTCAGCACACATGCATACAATCAAGTATAATTGCTTCAGCAGTTTAGTCTGAAAATATTGGATATTTTCTTTGTTGAGTCTTTCTTTATTTGCTGTACATGCTCATGCTTTATTTTGCCTGTGTTTGTGTAGTCGGGAAAGAGATAGAGAGCGAAGGAGATCAAGAGAACGTTCACCCACACGGAAGCGTTCTAGAGACCGGTCGCCTCGCAGAGAACGCTCTCCAAGACGGCCACGCAGAGTCGTCCCAAGATATACTGTGCAGTTCTCCAAATTCTCTCTCGATGGGTAAGTTAATTGTTGTAAAGGAAGAATCTTGATGACTTGTTGCAAATTAAACAGACTTTTTGGGGGTTTTTTGTATTCGTTTATTGTCATTCGTCCTAGACACGGAAGAATGAAAAGGGGTTTCTCTACAATTATGTTTCTCTGGTAATAATTTAATAGCAATGCCGTACAGTATATGTAGAGATCTGCAAACAGATTAGACAATAAACAATACAGTATATAGGGTTTGGTTTGGCTTCTAACAAAAAAAAAACTATTATAGGTCAATACCAATTAAAATCACTCATTCACTTATCTGCCTATTGAAACGGTTGTTATTGTTGCATTCAGTCATTTATATCAAAGTTGCCATTAAATCAAACTTGACAGTTCTTATTTTATAATGGAATTAAGTTATTTAAAATGATGGAATTAATTATTTTAAACTCACATGCACATCTCTTCAGTGACGTGTTCACAGGCGCAAGGGTGGGATGATATTCACTCCCCTCCAGCAGCCTGTTATTACCATGAGATCGCAGCCATAGCAAATGCCAATGATCCAGTCGATTAACAATGAACCAATTTAAATGACTCCCTACATTTTTTCTTGTTTGAGAAGCTGGATATATGTCAATAGGAATAGACAATCACAACTTCCATTTCATGAAAAAAAATTAGGCATCACTGGATTGGATTTATTAGTTGGATATATACATTAATCTGAAAAGTAATTAAATCTGACCTTCACGGACACTAAACTTGCATTAAGAGCACCACAGAATCAAAAGAAACGCAGAGATCTTGGAGTCTGCATTTATAAGTTAGCTACTTTATTTTGATGCACTTTTTAGTGTTGTTTAGATGTGTGTTTGGTATATGACCGTCTCTATTCTCATCAGTTGCAACTGTGACATGATGGAGTTGCGGCGGAGGTATCAGAGCCTCTACATCCCTAGTGACTTTTTTGACGCTGTGTTTACCTGGGTAGACGCCTTTCCCTTAACACGACCTTTCAACTTTGGAAACTACTGTAACTTCCACATCATGCATAAAGAGGTGGACTCTCTGGTGAAGAACACGGCTGTGCTGGACCCACCTGATGCCAATCACACCTACAGTGCAAAGGTAATGCCCCCAGATATGGTCATCATTTTTGAGTAATTTATTGTCAAATTCTTTTTCAGAATAATGCTTCTTACCAGATTTCATTGAGTGGTTTTTGGCAGTCAGGATTAATGTTGATGGTTGTTTTAGGTAATGCTGCTGGCCAACCCTAGTCTAGATGAGCTGTATCATAAGTCGTGTGCTCTGGCAGAAGATCCACCAGAGCTGAGAGACTCATTCCAACACCCTGCCCGCCTCATCAAGGTACAGCTCTTTGAATTACACTACTAACCGCAGCAAACGGGCTGGGTTTGTGTAATCAGCTTGTTACGTAATCACTAACTTACGTGCTATTTTACGAAAATTGTTTTGCACTTATGCTGTAGTATTTCACAGGGATGGGCAACATTACTGTGTTGGTGACCGTAGCTGTTATTACTATGAACCCTTTTCAAAAACTGTGACGATACATTTCCACAGTTAATAACGTCAAAAAACGATTAAATTTTTATTTAAAGGGATACTATTATGCTCTTTTACAATGTCTTGAATTTGTTTTGGGGGTGTACTAGAACATGCTCTCATGCTTGGTGGTTCGAAAAATGCATTATTTTTTAGATAATTTACATTATTACAATACCTTTCTCCCCAGTCTGGCACAAACGGCTCGATTAGTTTCCGGGTTTGATGAACGCCCGCCTTCCGAAAAACTAATTGTGATGTGATTGGTTAGCTGTCCCAGTGCGTTGTGATTGGCGAACAGCTTAGACGGTGTTTCAGTACTGCCCCGCCCCTTGCCAAAGCAGCAAGTTTAGTTAAGGATGGCGTCAATATTGCCATATCAATTTGAGCTGGATTCAGACCCCGAGAATATTGAACAAGAGGATTACGCAGAACCTTTGCACGCACGGATATTGCAAGACATATTCGAGTGGTAACATTATTGTTGTTTTTTTTGTTGTTTTTTTGCTAAATCACGTTTTAGATAAATGTCAACAACCGCTTAAAAATAAATGCATTTACTATGTACAGATAAGTGCATATGTATTAATTTTATTGTTATTTAATTCTAACATTATAACATGAATTGCAGTGAAACTGTTATACAGTTGAATTTATTTATAGCATAGTCCAGTGTTTCCCAGGCGGCATATATATGCAAACTCATTCTCTGCCCTCAGGAGGCGCTGTTGGAGTGGTAGAGATCAAGGTTTCCCCGGTAATGGCTGTACACAAAGCAGCGCTCTGCTCAAAAAACACTGCTTTATCAGACATTACATGCAAGATTAAATGAAAATGACATCCAATTTTCTGAAGACAATCGGTTTCCTTCAGAAGTACAGTGATATAAAAACACCCACACTCAATGTACGGGAAACACTGTAGTCTCATAATTGAAGTGTAAATTCTGCAGATTACATCATTGTACTGTCAGCAATTTATTATAAAAACGTTTTCATAATTGTAACCTGCATATTTACATACATAATTATTCAGGTGCATGTGTAATAACTTGCGAAATCTTGAGGCTACAGCAGCACTTCTTCTTCGTCGTCTTGTCTGATGCACTCAACCAAGCGTTCTAACCACAACCTCGCCCCTCCCCACCCCCCAACCATTCGAATTTCCGTAGTCGGGAATTATTTTAATGATATTCTAATGGCCCGCTTTGTGATATCACAAAACCTGGAAAACAAACGCTGTAGTCCAAACGAGCCGTTCGTTGTAGTTCTTGAAAAGTTTTTTTTTTTAACTAAATATCTCCCTTTGGAGTGGACTTTGAGATTTGTAAGTTTGAATATCTTTTTTATGCCCAAACATACACGCTACCCACTGACTAAAATTCAAAAAGTGAAAAAGCATAATAGGACCCCTTTAAAATTCATTTATAAGACCATACTTTTATCTAGGTATTACATTTCAGAAAACAAGTTAATGCTACTGTGTGAGTGTTTTTAACGATGTGATGGCAAATTTGACATATTTGTGAATTTTATTTTTTGCTATTCTGATCAAATGGAATTCAAAAAAGAACTATGATGAGTTCTTCTGCTGAGAATGCCAGTAGGGGGCATTCTTGTGTACCAGAAAAATGTCATCTAGCTTCTGACAGCTTGTCAAAATTATGGCAAAACTTCAAGTTATGAATACTGTACAATTTATTCATTTTACCTTTTTTGCACTGATGATGAAGAATAGTTACCAAGCTTGCCCGAAGATACTATTCTTTTAACCAGTTTATGAGAAGTATCTACATTTCCCATCATTTGGAGCAGCACGAGAATGATGAAATACATAATACAATAATTTCAATGTAGGATATTTGCAAATAAAGCATGTCAGAGTGCTGAACAAAAGAGAAGGGAAACTATGTCTGCAGATAGGCCTGCTGGTACATAAAAGTTTTAAGACATCTCTTCACTTTTTGCTAGCAGTAAAGCTTCCTGTCTTGGTGGGAACAGAAAAAGATAGAAATTAAAAATGGTTTAACACATCCAGTTTATTCTGACCATGATGACGCACATGTCAGAAAGTGTTGTCTCAATACCACAGCATTTGTAGTTTCAGTTATTATTTTAATAACACAGCAAAAGCTAATTTGCTTTTTAATACACTCCTTTTACCAATTTTATTTAACTGTTATTTGAAGTTATTAGTTAGAATTAAAGTTATAATATATAATCATTATATTATTAATAAGGCTAATAATTATAAATGATAGAATGTAATGCAATATCAAAATCATTTATGTAATGCAATATAAAAATAATACTGTAAAAATGGTAATACTGAGAAATATTATTACAATTTAAAATGTTAAAATAACTGTTTAATAAAATAACTGTTTTCTGTTGTAATATGTTGAACATTTTATACCCATTATGGTAAAGCTGAATTTTCAGTATCATTACTCCAGTCTTCAGTGTCACGTTCAAAATCATTTTTCAAACCTCAAGAAACATTTCAGATTATTATCAATGTATTATCAATGAAAGCAGTTGTATTGCTTAACATGTTTGTGGATTTTTTTTTTTTGGGATTCTTTGAATCAAAAGGTTGATAAGAACAGCATTTATTTAAAATATAAATATTTTGTAACTTTATAAATATCTTTACTGTCATTCTTGCTGTATAAAAGTATTAATTAAAAAAAAAATCTGACTGACCCCATATTTATTACACGGGTAGTGTTTACCATCATTTACCCACTATTAAAATTTCAAACGTTGAATGGGATTTAACTTTTAAGGACCCTTAAATATAATGTACACTGAAACTAGTTTCCTTGCTCCCCTGCACACTGAAAGATGTTTGTCCACTCCTGTGTTTGATGTGGGGAGTTTCTGTTGGTGTTGGGGAGCTGACTGTGAAGTGTATCTGTCCTCTTCCACGGCTGAACACTTTGCTGTGTGGAATAAGCTCATCTGATGTTGTCTCTCCCTGTGTCCACCGCATACACCTCCTTCAGAGCACTCAGCGGCTTCCCAGCGTCTCGTAACCCATTTGAACTCCTCTGTTTTCAGTTCCTGGTGGGGATGCGGGGGAAGGACGAAGCCATGGCCATCGGGGGTCACTGGTCTCCCTCTTTGGATGGAGCCGACCCGGAAAACGATGCCTCGGTCCTTATAAAGACAGCCATACGTTGTTGTAAGGCTCTGACAGGCATTGATCTGAGTTTATGTACCCAGTGGTAAGTACAGCTCCTTTCTCGGTCTGTGCCGATGCGTCTCCTTGTAATCTCCATGTGTGCATCTTTTACTATTTAAAAAATGTAAAAAAAAGGCCAACAGGTAGACAACATCTAAAAGTCTGTGACCCGCTGCATGGTTTTGACACAGCAGTGTATCTCCTGACACGTTTGATGCTTTTGTGTTCATAATTTTGATTTCTCAAATTTTGTTTTGCAATGTTTACGCTAATGTGTGTGGCAGTCCTGCCTCTATATCTATGTGGTGAATGCATTGATTCTTTTGCTCCGAGAGCAGAGCCAGAGGAGTTGCCGCCACCACCATCGTTACTTTCTGTTCTCTCTGACCTTTGCCTTGTGTTAAATATCTTACATATTTAACTTGCTTTCACTGTGTCTGAATCTGTCCTTCTCTCACACCCCCGGGGGTTCGTAAGCCATCTTTCACGAGCAACCGGTTCAGATTGACGGGTGCAGGGGGGGTGGGGTCTTTGTCGTTTTTGATATTGTCTGTCGACCTCCCTGATGCGTGGCTGCTGTTCATCCTGAGAAACCCCCCGTGGAGTTCCGCAGACTGTATTTTCTCATACGTGTCTCATTCGGGGGGTCGAGGGGATCTGAGCTTTTTGTGTGTGTGTTGGGGGAAATGGGTGATGTCTCACAGAATGTTTCTTTCCAACGCGCTTCTTCCTTTGCGACAGGTATCGTTTTGCAGAGATACGCTATCACCGCCCTGAGGAGACTCACAAAGGGCGGACAGTCCCCGCACATGTGGAGACAGTGGTTTTATTTCTCCCGGATGTTTGGCATTGTCTTCCTACCCGCTCAGAGTGGGAGGGCCTGTCACGTGGCCTCAAGGAGAAGCTGGCAGAGAAACTCTTGGCTGAACGGAAGGAGGCTGATGGAGAACAGGCACTGAACGCTAATCCCTCTCTTCTCATTTCCGCTTCTCACAGGCACAGGAATAGACAAACAAAACACTCAGAAAACACAGAAAGAAACAGACAAGTATCACAGGCATCATACAGAACCCACTTTTACCATCCCACCCTCTCATCCCTGACCCTCCACCCCATTTCCTCCTGCTCTCCCTCTGTCACGCAGTCTCACACACAGCGGAAGAGCTTAGGTCCTACTTTATGACACCTGTCAACTGGTAAAACAGTTTCCAGCTCAGCCGATTGCACAATTGACGGCCGTGATTGAGATAACTCAAAATTTCCTGTTTAATTTCAACAAATCCAAACTAAAAAATTGACGCATGGACCAATGAGACCAATTTGGGAAACGAATGCTGGAATCTGGAGAGCCAGTTGTGTTTATGATGTTTGTGTGTTTTTTTTAGATCGTTTTGTTTCCCTGTTCAATATCTGCCAAACGCTCTCTGAGTTCTGTCTCTTGTCTGTCTCTTTTTTTTATTTTTGTTTTATTTACGCTGTTCTCTGATTGGACTGTGCCTAGACCCTTTGTGGATGTGATTTTTCCAGGGAGGACAGTTCTGGCTAGGCGTTAAAGAAAACAAGCTGAAAAGAGTATACGTGGGCCAAAAAAAGGCAGCATTAAACGTAGACGTAGGGTTTGGAGCCCTTCTCTGAGTGCATCTGTCCCATGTCCATCTCTTGAACCCACTGTCATTGATTATCTTTTTGTATTCCACAGAACTGGTTGATTGGCTGATGGGTGGGATATGGATCTGTTTCTGAAAGCTAGAGAAGAGCTTTGTGTCTGTGTACGTGTGTGTGTGTGTTGGGGGAAATGGGTGATGTCTCACAGAATGTTTCTTTCCAACGCGCTTCTTCCTTTGCGACAGGTATCGTTTTGCAGAGATACGCTATCACCGCCCTGAGGAGACTCACAAAGGGCGGACAGTCCCCGCACATGTGGAGACAGTGGTTTTATTTCTCCCGGATGTTTGGCATTGTCTTCCTACCCGCTCAGAGTGGGAGGGCCTGTCCCGTGGACTCAAGGAGCAGCTGGCAGAGAAACTCTTGGCTGAACGGAAGGAGGCTGATGGAGAACAGGCACTGAACGCTAATCCCTCTCTTCTCATTTCCGCTTCTCACAGGCACAGGAATAGACAAACAAAACACTCAGAAAACACAGAAAGAAACAGACAAGTATCACAGGCATCATACAGAACCCACTTTTACCATCCCACCCTCTCATCCCTGACCCTCCACCCCATTTCCTCCTGCTCTCCCTCTGTCACGCAGTCTCGCACACAGCGGAAGAGCTTAGGTTCTACTTTATGACACCTGTCAACTGGTAAAACAGTTTCCAGCTCAGCCGATTGCACAATTGACGGCCGTGATTGAGATAACTCAAAATTTCCTGTTTAATTTCAACAAATCCAAACTAAAAAATTGACGCATGGACCAATGAGACCAATTTGGGAAACGAATGCTGGAATCTGGAGAGCCAGTTGTGTTTATGATGTTTGTGTGTTTTTTTTAGATCGTTTTGTTTCCCTGTTCAATATCTGCCAAACGCTCTCTGAGTTCTGTCTCTTGTCTGTCTCTTTTTTTTATTTTTGTTTTATTTACGCTGTTCTCTGATTGGACTGTGCCTAGACCCTTTGTGGATGTGATTTTTCCAGGGAGGACAGTTCTGGCTAGGCGTTAAAGAAAACAAGCTGAAAAGAGTATACGTGGGCCAAAAAAAGGCAGCATTAAACGTAGACGTAGGGTTTGGAGCCCTTCTCTGAGTGCATCTGTCCCATGTCCATCTTTTGAACCCACTGTCATTGATTATCTTTTTGTATTCCACAGAACTGGTTGATTGGCTGATGGGTGGGATATGGATCTGTTTCTGAAAGCTAGAGATCTTCCGTGTATCCTAGCAGTGGATTTTTGTTTTTTACCCAGTCGAGAGCTCAGTAGGAGGAGACAATGAGAGACAGTTGTGACCTTGCTTCTTGCACTGATCAACTTTTGTTTCAGAAAACATCTTTCAGTCTGAGAATGGTGTGTTAACATGCTGTTTTCTTTTTTCTCTTCTTCTCTCTTTCAAATAACGTGCATAGGAGGAGGATAAGGATGAAGATGATTCAAAGGAAGTCACTACGCCGACTCACTGGTCTAAGCTTGATCCGAAATCCATGAAGGTGAGATTCCCACAAGCAGACTGAACTGTTTTATTCTACATCAATATTCTCTAGGCCTATATTCCATTTGATGGGGTCTTCATATTCTTTATAGACCTATTAAATGCTAAGGTATAGACAGGGGCGGATTTAGAGAATTGGGGGCCCCAGGCAAAATATAGGAATGGGGCCCTATACATTTGCACACATTTTCCTAGATCAACCTTGAGGTTCCATTTTGTTGTTTTCAGCGTTTTCTGTCTAATTCTAAACTTTAAAATACATTTATTTTTAGTTGTTTTAACTACAAATTTAAATAAAACTGAAAAAATAATGAAAAGGCAATTATACATTTACACACCTAAAATACATATACCAAGAGCATGCTCACAGATGAGCACAAAACAGCGTTGGATGAAGTGGATTAAAGCCATGCACGAGTCTCAAATATAGGCCCTAGCCTGTCTTTTTTCCCAAAAAAAGCTTATTCTACTGTTTCAGCTATTAAAATAGTTAAGTTTTGTATGTAATGGAAAAGTGATTATATTTCGTTTCGTTTTTTTATAAAGTAAATTTAGAAAAACATTTGTCGTTAAATGTACGGTTTTTTGTTTTTAAAAAAAAAAATTTTTTTAATAAAAGCAGCGGCAGACCTATAGCCTATGTTTGATCAATTTAGCCTTCTCAAATCATCAGGACTTGCCTAAAATAAAATCTATATATAAAACAGTTCAAGTGTATCACAATGTTAGTTTAAATGTTTCACCTATATAAATGTGCGCTGTTAGACTCATATCCAATCGTTTGCGGAGAGTGGAAGCTAAAGCGTGCTCTGCAGGACACGGAGGCGCCAGCGCGATCACTTGCATTTTTTTCTAACAGTGGAAACAACTTAAAATATGCAATCATTTTTGCTCATAAAGGTAAGAGTAATACATCATTCTAAACTGTAAAGGGTCTAGTTTTATTTGTGTGCACTCACAATATCAACAAAACTTTATGCTTTTATAAAGTAAAGAAAACAAATGCTTTCTGCCGTCTCGGGCTTGAACAGGAGCGCTTCACAATGATGAACCTAAACTCAGACATGATCAAAATGTATAGTAGAAAGTTTTAAATTACTACTTTAAAAAATAGACTCCTAATAAAATAAACTCTTTCATGATGTAATCCGTGCATTTCTCTCTAAAGGCACATCCAATTAGGAGATGGCGAGTCATTTTTTCATCACTATAATTGATGGAAGGCCCGATTATAATTTGCGTTTTATTTTATAATTCCGTAGTTAAAAAATAAAACACTAATTATAATGACATGTATGTAAATTTTTGTCCTATAATTGTATAGCTGCTTTTTCTGATTTTTATGTTGCTCTGTTCTGAATACCTTAAAATTGAAAGGATTTACTGCAATGCAATTTTATGATATGTTAATTATTTATATTTTTTATCAATGCTGCAAATGCTTTAAAATTGTCATGAATTTGTTGTATTCCCATTTGTAAAATAGCCAACAAATTACTTGTTGTAGGCTAACCCGATCTCATGAAAGTGCATATAGCACGATTTTCTGCTTCTTTTTGGCATAATATTTCTATGCAGAAATTGACTTTGGCATGCAAAAGACTGATAAATTCATAGTTAACGGCATGGGTTCAGTCGACAGAAATACGGGACACACAGGCCAATAATAACTGCTGAAATGTTTGCGGGGCAAATCTCAGATCAGTCTGAGCGCTTATGGTACTCACAGTGCGTACAGCTGCAGGCGCCACAGACTCGGACGGTTGTTGTGGTAATAAACACAGTAAACGGCAAACGTTCGCGTGTCCGCGCTTAATGCGCATATCCTATATGAAAAGCATTTTAGGGGGCCCTTGGCTTTTGGGGGCCCAAGGCGGTCGCCTAC